CAGAAGTACCAAAATTTACAATTTTGACACCATATATAATATTGGCAGAAATATTGAGATGTGTAAAGTTTAATAAGAGTCGGACAATTATTTGATATTTCTAAAAATGTATTATATTACTTCTTCAAAGTTATGACCTTCTGTGGGCAATGTAGCAGATGAAGTGAACCAATCCCACTTTCCGCCTAATGTTGTGCTGAGAGAAAAAAATTGAATACAATATTCGGAGAATATCAGCGATTCATTTCACATTTAATTAGAGTTTGTATAATATAAGGGATATATTCCAGTTCACACATGCTATAGATAAAAATATTTTGGATATGCTAAGTATAAATAAAATCGAATAAAGCGGCATTGATTTTACATTTCACACTAGATGTAATATGTGCAGAAGTAGTGCATTGTAAAAGAAACATCGTGAATTGTTTTTTAATCTAAATAATCAAAATTAAACTCCATATTTATTTGAGTGATTTTCTGATTCACAGACTGACTACTTGATTCCTTAACGCCAAGACGAACAACTGAAGCTAGAATCTTGAAATTTAAGGTGAGGGTCAAAATTTGTACTAGAAGGGCACGGAAAGTACTAAACGGTACTAAATATCGTTTTACTTGCGTTTGCGGACGGGTTGAAATTTGGAATGAGGGCCAAGTTAAAACTTAAAGTTTGCGAATAGTTCCAAAAGCTACTAATTTGGTACCATGGTGTATTTTTATACCCACCCTCATTCCGATTGCAACACCTCTAAATATTCGTCATAGACCCCATAAAGTACCCACCGGTATTCGCCTTTTTCATGGTTTTGGCAACATTTTTCAACGGATTTGTCTATATAACAGTGCCTCTCGATATTCGATATTTTGTTAATCCTAGTCAATTTTACCCACGAAATTGGGTCAAATTTGGTATTTAAGACTCGCAATGGATAACAATTCTTGTAGTATAAAATTGTTTATATAGGTTCCCGTTATGGTATGATCCCCATATAACGGCCACACACACTTTTAATGTTTTGGAAAAGTTTAACTGCTTTGGTATTTTTAGTTTAAAGTGGAACACGTTTATATTCAGATACTTTTATATACAAATGTGTTCTTTAACTAAGGGTGGAGGGTTTTAGAAGATCGGCCCAGTCGATCTTAATGTCTTTTTACTTGTTAACATATGTTATGAAGTATGCTTAATTAAAGGTAACCGATCGCATAAAATTTTACTAACTTAAGTACAAAATTGTACTTAGTTTGTACTACTCGTACTATAGTGAACGAAAAATGTTATATGGTACTAAACTGGGTATTGACTGTAAAGGGAGAGAGAATAGGAATGGAATTTAGTTTGAATGCCCACATCGTACTACATTCAATACCATTGGTATTAGCTGTACAGGGTGAGATAACAAAAATTGCAAGTAAAACGCCATAATTTATTTTTTTTTATTTGTATTGAATGAAAGCAAAAAATGTCGTAAATAGCATCAACTTTTAGAATAAGTTTAGATTTTTTCGAATTGGTCACCTTTGGCACGAATTATGGTCTTCAAACGGCCAATGAAACCGTCACACGCTGCCCGAATGTTGATCTGCAGTATTTTGGCCCATTCCCGGCGAAGCTCCTGCTTGAGGTGATCGACACTTTGGTATTTTTTAGTGACAACCTTGTTTTCCAAACTACTCCAGACACAATAGTCCAACGGATTGGTATCCGGAGATTTTGGTGGCCCTTGTGTCTTGTTGGAGTGTTCAAGGTCTGCGGCCAAAATGTTTCGTGGCCAGGACTTTAATACACTCCAGAATATTTTCGCGATTATATTCGGCATTTATTCTGATGCCACAGTCGATTAATACGAGCGGAAAGCGAGCATCGGCTGTTATGGCGGCACACATCATCACCATGGCCGGCGCTTGAGTTCTAGTGGCCAACCGAATGTGCACATTTTCAGCTAACCTCTTTGGCAAGTAAACACAATCATTTTGTTTGTTTATAAACTGGTGGACAACAAATGGGTTTTTAACGAAGAAAACCAAATTCAGCACTTCACCAATTTCGGCCAAGCGGAGCAACTATTTAGCTCTTTTGAGTCTTTTTTTCTTTCGGTTGCCTTGTAAGATCTTGCACTTTTTGGAATTTCAATGACTTTACCCCGAGCTCATTTTTCAATATTTGCCGAATGGAATATTGCGATATGTTCAGTTCACGAGCCATTTTTCGGCCACTGCGACAGGTGGTTTCGATTAATTCGCTTCTTTACTTTTCGAACCATTTCTGCTGATGTTGAAAATAAAATATATCAGTCCACGTTTTCGAATAGCCCCATATAACGGTACCCATCGATATTCGGTATTTTTATGGGTATAGCCATATTTTTTATCGATTTGTCTAAAAACTGATTGAACGCACATGTAACGGGTCCTTAGGATATTTCGTATTTTGACGATTTTATCCACATTTTCTAATAGATTTATGTAAAATTTGGAATTTGTACTTCATAATGGGTTCTACAACCGGTGTTAAAACACAGTATATATTTTTCAACGGTTTCCATATAACGATACCCACCGATATTCGATATTTTGGTAATCATAGTAAAATTTACCCACTAAATTGTGTCAAATTTGGTACTTAAGATCCGCAATGGATAACAATCCTTGTAGTATAAAATTGTCTATATATGTTCCCGATATAGTACGGGCCCCACATAACGACCAAACCTACTTTTAATGTTTTTTTTTTTTTTTCAACAGTTTACCGCATTATTCAAACGGTTTTACTGGTATGTGTCGTTTAAAGTGGAACACGTTTAAGTTCAGATACTTTTATATAAAAATGTTTTCTTTACCCAAAGGTGGAAGGTATTAAAATTTTGGCACGACCGAACTTAATGTTTTTTAATTTGTTTATAATATAAAAGGTGTAACAAATGTTACTACACAAGCAAAAGAGAAAAACCTACAACAAGAAGAACCCCTCAGACAAATTGCTTGTCCGACTTGTCGGACTTTGAGCATGTATGTCGACGTCCGATATTTGATTCGCTGGGTAAATGCATGGTTTTACACTGAACCAAATCACAACACAAAACCAGTAAGGAAAAGTCAAAAGTCGGGCTGGGCCGACTGTATGATACCCTACTCCACTATGCATATTTAGTAGAGCTTCCGTAACAAAATAATTTATTTGAAGTAGATCGTTCATCCAATCAACGTTTTGGTATAGCCCCCATATAACTGTAGCGACAGATTTAAGATTTTTTTCGAGTGAAAAGAATTTCAAAGCGAATTTGCTCTAAATTATGTGTATGCCTTCCCAGAATGTAGGAAACATCCTTGCAGAGAACTACAAGGTATATACCCCATATGTTTCTTCAGATATTCAGTATTTTCATAATTTGTGTCACATTCTTCACCGGAATTGTTTAAGTTTGGAATTTAAAGTACGGGTACTACCTCTTACGACAAAAAATTTCCCTTACAAGTTCACACCTTTGTATAGCGTCCCAGTATCACACAATGTTCAGTATTTTCAGAAACGTACGTCCGAATTTACTCCATTTGTGCTGATATTAGCCAAAAAACCTGAAATCGGATCAAGAATAGTTAGGAGCTATATATACCAGATACCCGATCTCGATGAAATTTTGCAAAGGTATTTCCGAGCTCTATAAGATATATGGTACCAACTATCATTGTTGTCGAATAGATCTTGCAAATGTGAGGAACTTAAACACCATGTCGGATGATATATGAGAGCAAATCTATATCTGAACAGAACTGATGTAATTGCTTCTAGACTGAATTCGGTTGGATGTGTCAAAATTCAGGTCATTTGAACTTATATTGGCATTTGGTGCACAATTAACCCGAAATACGTTGAAGATATATATGGGAGCTATAACCAAACCTGAACCGATCTTCGCAGAGGTATTTCTCGGCTGTATCTGATACCAAACGTCATTTTTGTGGGGTGCATATTACGAATGTGGGAGACTTAAACACCAAATCAGATGAAACCTATATATGGAAGCTATAGCTATATCTGAACAGATTTTCTCCAAATTCGGAGTACCTGCTTCTAGACTGAATCCGGTTGGATGTGCCTGAATTCAAGACTTTTGGACTGATATTGGCTATTTGGTCGCCAAATCGGCTGAAGATATATATGGGAGCTATAAACAAATCTGAACTGATCTTGATAACATTTAGCAGAGGTTTCTGCGCTGTATCTGATATCTAGTACCAAATATGATTGTTGTGAAGTTATTATTATGGTGAAAATAATCACAGATCCAACTTGAGTGTTCTAAACTTATTTATTGGCTCTTGGTAGCAGTTCGGTAAGAATTTACTGTTGGTTTGAAATCTGTTTTGCAAGTAGTAACTGGTTCCAAAATGTACTTAACTAACCCATTATTTGGTAAAAGTTACATCAACATCTAATCGTATTTTATAATTATTTTCTTTGTTTGTGACGGCGAGTCTTGAAGATAGTAACTTCGGGTTTGTAGTTGGGCGCACACAGTCTGTGTCGATGTTAATCATTACAATGAAGGAAGTAAGTTTATTTGTTCTACCAATATGGAAGGTGGTTGGTTCACATTATTATTTTATGGTTTACTCAACACATACAACAAATGTCCTTCCCTACATTACAGTCTCATATAAATAATAATTATAGCTTTCAGAATTTCGCAAATCCATTTTACAAAACGTTACATTCTACGTTGAGATTCTAATTTATAAAATCTTACAATTAACATTGTCGCTCATTAAACCTCTCTCCATTGTCATTCGTCAGCGTTCTACATTGTTTCGTCCCCCCATTGTTTGTTTTCTGCAAACCAACCCTCGTGGTTTATTTCATTTCATGAATTTTTATTAATTTGTTCCGTTCTTTATTGTAACAATGCGTTTTTTTATTCACCTTTATTATTTTGGCCTTTCTTTTGTTTCAACGGAAATTTTTCCATTCTTTTGTTCTTTCTTTCTTTTTCTTAAAGGCATTGCCAAGGCTTCTTCATCTCCTTCAAAGACCGGCACTAACACAAAACCCTCAACTGTCAAGAATGACAAGAAAAATGTAAAAATTGACAATGAAAACACGCTCACATTAAATGAAGAAGATTTAAAAGGTACGACCACCCGGAACAACATCGCATGCTAAGACATTTGCATTTCATTTGTTTTTAATCGTTTCGTTTTTCTTTTACTTCATTACTTTCTCTTATTTCCTTGGTTGCTATTAACCCGATCTCCGCGAAGCCTCTTCCCGTTCATATTCCCCAATAGAAATTGATTTGAAACAAATGAAACTGCCAGAGCTGAAGGCTTTGAGCCGCAATTGTGGCTTGAAGGTTAATGGGAAAAGGGAAGACCTTATCAAACGATTGCAGCATTACATCGGGTCGCCAATCCAGAGTGCCTCGACAGAGACCAATAGTGCAGCTGATGTAGTTCAAATTTCGGCCAATCCAATGAACAAAATTCAAAACAATTGCCTTGACGATACAGATCCAAAAGTGCACAACGAATCTGACGAAGCTCTCAATGGTATGTACATAGCACTTAAACTGTACATTCATCCCGCTTGTCATCTTACGTCACACACACACACACATTCGCATGCCAAGTATTGTCTCCTCCCCTCCATCCTTAGTTTTTAATTTGTATTTTAGAAAACTTGTATGGAACTCCATATGCTTTCGGTTTACATTATTTTATGTGAAATTATATTTCGGAAATTTTCGAAGAAGACTTGATTAGTGGTAGATGCAATCAACGTCCGACAAGCTGAAAAAGACCTACGTTGGAATAGATAGCAGTATAATGTTTTCTTAACCAATTCATAAATGCCAAAAATTTTAAAATTTCAATATTTCAAAAGTTGCAGTTCAGTTTCCCACGAATTAAGATATTCGCCTAATGAAAATTATTCAATATTGGTCTACACTTTAGCATAAGCCCCATTTTTGACCTGAATGAAATTTGGTATTTTGAGCTCGTAATATGAAGACTTTTCTCGAAAATATGTAATACTTTACATTGCGAGGTACTCTTAATGTACGTCTGACAGATAATAAAAACTTTTCGACACATAATTCTCAGAGAATAAATTTTTATACCCTCCTCCATTCCAGGGAGAGTACAGGGTGAGATAAAAACCTGCAACAATGTCAAAAGCAACAATTTTTACATTTTTTTTTTAATTTTATGGAATGAAAGCAAAAAATGTCGGATATAGCATCAAATTTTAGAATAAGTTTAGATTTGTTCGAATTGGTCACTTTTGGCACGAATTATGGCCTTCAATGGCCAAATGTTGCTCTGCGGTATTTTGGCAAATTCCCGGCGAAGCGCTTGCTTCAGGTGATCGCCACTTTGGTATTTTTAAGTGCCAACTTTGCTTTCCAAAATAATCCAGACACAATAGTCCAACGGGTTGGTATCCGGAGATATTGGTGATCATTATGCGCTGGAAATGAAGCGAAACCCCTCATTTTATAATGTCCAAGGTCTCCGGACAAAATGTTTGCGTACCGAAAGGCTTTAATACACCCTCCAGAATATTTTCGCGATAGTATTCGGCATTTAGTCTGATGCCACGGTCGATTAATATGAGCGGAGAGCGACCATCGGCTGTTATGGCGGCCCACACCACACCATGGCTGGCGCTTGTGTTCTGGTGGCCAACCGAAGGTGCACCTTTTCAGCTGACTTCTTTGGTAAGTAAACACGATCATTTTGTTTGTTGACGAACTGCTGAACAACGAATGTTTTCTTATCGGAGAAAACCAAACTGCCGAATCACCACTTTCGGCCAACCGAAACAACTCTGTCTGAACTGAGCTGTCACTGGCATAATTTTAACAGCTGTCGGACGAGTGGCTTAGTAATGACAGTAGTCTGAAGTTGGTTGCAGTTTTTCCATCTCACCCTGTAGTCTCTATTAAAGATTTTTATTACCAAAGAATAACTACTTATGTCGATACCCTCGCAAAAATAATTTATTATTAATTCTAATTGTTATTAATATTTTCTTTTCATATGTTTTTTTTTTTTTTTGCCCTTCTGTTTATTGCCATCGCTGTCAATTATTCCTGCAGTGAATGCATTGCCCACTTACCATTCGATTCTAATTAGAAGACTAGACTAGTTTTTTGCTCTTTTGTGAACACAAACTAATATGGAAGATAATCCTCCTCGAATTAGACCAACCTGATGGAAAAAGTAAACACTGATTGTGGAAACTTGTGGTCAAATGTTATCAACATCACTACAGATATAGAGATTATTTGGCGGGTGAAAATATAATTAGAGACTATACTAGCATCGCAAAATTTAAAACTATTTGTAAAATAAGTTCCGATGCCGCATTAGCTTCATCAGATTTCCAATAAATGACTTTGAAAGTAACCTGATAATCACCACCAGCATTCCATGGTCCCTGTTGGTGGCAAATGAAATTAGGAAGTTATCTCACCTAATTCGCAATACCTTTTCTGTATGTGGTTATGTGTGCCTCTGTGTCCGTCACACACACGCACACACAGTCACTTGCCGCAAAAGTGCATTCATCTGACGTGCATAAATATCCGTTACCGTTCAAGCCTATTATGCGCTTGGATTCGCCTAAGCTTTGAATATTGAATAATGTTCACAGCCACATTCAGGATGACCACCAACCAACAGAAACCGGTACTGCTTCCATCGGTCTACATATACACATGTATATGTCCATGGAGTAGAACACAACCTTTTTCTGTGTGCCTGCGTGGAAAAGTGAGGAAAATCTCAATTAATGCCCAATGAATGTAACTTGGTTTTGCTGGCGGTGACATTCGTTGGTTAAGCGAAAGACAAACACAAAAACGTCTAAATTGAATGGTGAACCACGGAGCCCAACAGCATAAGTTTGTGGTTGATGTCTTTGGACTTTGAATTAGCACCGTCCTTCTATTAGAACTGGTGTTTTGTTTCAAAAACAAATTTTAAGGGAAAATCTTAAACACACAGTTGAAAAATGGGAAAAATGATAACGGAAAGAGTTATTTATAGTGGGATTCTCTAATTTTCTCTAATGTAGCAGTTACCAGCAAAAATCGGTAAGCGTCAAAGGCAAAAACTACTTCTAACAAGTCAAATATTTTTTGTCGGGTTTACCGACATATGTATACTTCAGCCCAAAGGGTGGGCCAGTAATGTTTATTTCGTTTCTGACCTATGTGTGATATAAATATCACAAGGTGCTAGATTTACCTACGAAATATGCGTATGCATCTAATACTGATATAAATATTGTTTCGCGCACAATTTAGAGAATATCGAACATTCATATCCAATTTTATGGGAATAAATAATAATCAAAATTTTTAACATTTGTGGGCAAGGTACCAAAAGGAGTGGGCCATAGATTCCATATTGACATAAGATCTCTGGTTCATTCTTTGGATGCATTAAATCGCATCGCTGAATTCGAAAGTTGCGCAAGTTATGGTAGATATAAAAACCGAAAATTTTAACCCTTTGTGGAAAAGATACCAGTAGGTCTGGGTTGATATATCCTATCATCACACAACATCTTTTGTGCTCATTTCGCTCTTATGAGCGTTTTGTTATTCAAAAATTTGACCAGATATAATGGACTTAATATCCCACCCTCACAACATATCTTTTGTTAACAAAAGGGAAGAGAATCGGGTGCTTATTATTACTATGTACCAAGTTTGGATCAAATCAAATCCTCGCTTCGAGAGTTAACGTGCGCACCAGCCAGACAGACAGAAGGACATGATTAGATCGATATCTTAGTAGAGCCTCCCTCACAAAAGATTAAAGGTTTGAATACTAATTAATCTCGTAATATGTAAAGTCAGTGTCAGATATTGTTCAAACTTGACACATCCTAATATTTTGGCCCACATTAGAAAAATATGGAATATACAGATCCATTTTTTTGGTACATCTACAAATTCTAAAATTTCTAAGAAAACATTAAACGTTTATGTCATATAGAAGGAATCGAGAACCAGAACTTGGCCAGACTTAAATTAAGAACGAACATGGAAAATATTGACCCACAAAATGTCTAACTTCGGCACAAAAGTCGGTAAAATATTAAATAAATTTCGGATTTTTTAAAACTTACAAATCCCGATTAGACAGCGTTAGGTCATTCATTAATGTGTGATTTATCGGATTTCAGTACTTCCCAAAAAGTACAGATATGTAGGTGCAACCTTTATGGTAATGGGTAGAGCTGCCCAAGCATACCAAAAAGGTTTGATACTAATATTACAATAAGCTTAAGTACACAAGCCTTAAACTTGAAAAGCATATTTTTGTAATAGTATAAAATATTCATTTTTATACCCTCCACCTTGAAAAGGAGGAGGTATATTAATTTTGTCATTACGTTAGTAACATCCCTAAATATTCGTCGTAGACTCCATAAAGTATATATATTCATAATCAGTATAAAATTCCAAGTCGATTTAATGATGTCCGTCTGTCTGTTGAAATCACGATACATCCCACATTATTTGACATAGAGCTTCAAAATTTGGCAGAACAGTTTGTATTGTGTCTAGGATGGTTGGTATTGAAAATGAGATGTATTGGTCAACACAACATTGTATATATACATTATATATAGGGCCACGTTTTTGTATAGTACCCATATAACATCCCGATATTTCGTATATTGATGATTTTTGCAACATTTTTTCACGGATTTGTCCAAAAATTGGCATTGGTAGTTCTAAATGGGTTCTAGCTCCGGTTTCTTTTCCTTTATTTGAGCTTCTGAATCTTCTCCACTAATATTACACTTCTTTTGAATTCCTATCATAAGTGCCCCATAAGTGTTTCTCAAGCATTGGTAAAAAAAAATATGATGAACTATTTTTTATAATATTATTTTCAAGCTGTTTTGTATTGTATAATATAATATAATATAATATAATATAATATAATATAATATAATATAATATAATATAATATAATATAATATAATATAATATAATATAATATAATATAATATAATATAATATAATATAATATAATATAATATAATATAATATAATATAATATAATATAATATAATATAATATAATATAATATAATATAATATAATATAATATAATGTTTAATATAATTTTTGTATGTTGGTTTATAGTTCAGTACACCAGTTCCTTGACGTATGAGTGATTTTATAAATTACATATATATCACATCACTCATACTCAGAGTTTTCGCATAAACGACCGGAGTCCACGAAACAAGAAGAAGTAGTTCGTTCGATCGAACTAGATTGGCACAACTCAATCAACTAAGTTAATGTGAGTTCTTCAAAAAGTCAAAATAATCCCACCTTCAAACTTTATCTCAGTTTCATAAAAAATGCTACGATTTGTAATGAATGGGCCTGTTTATCCGTCTGACGCAGAGATGGTCGAGGCTATATCTACGAATTTAGATAAATACTCAAAACGTACCCTCTTTCATCTGACAAATAGCCCAGAGGTGTACGGCTCAACTTTTTTTCAAATTCA